TCGCCCAGAGGCCTTTCGACACCTTGGCAGGCGAAGCGCGCTTGCGAAGTTTGAGCCGGATGCGAGACGCGCGGGCCCTAGCCTTGGTAATTAGCTCTGGCCTGCGCTTTTGCGGTGGCGCGCCGCTAGGCGCCTGCCGCGTCGACGCCCAGGTCGACGCCGTCGCTGGCCACCGTGGCGCGCGCCCCCTTCGCCCGCGAGGCCGCGTGCGCGGACGGGGCCAGGGCGCGGCTCGAGGCTGCGATGGTGGTCTCGGGCGAGACCTTGAGCTCGGCCTCCGCGAGTCCCGCGCAGAGGGCGCCTCCGACGCCCGCAAGGTCGCGGGCCACCTGCTCCTCCTCGCTCTCGACGCGCGCCGCCGTGTCGTCAACGAGCGTCCACGGGCCCGCGCAGGCGAAGTTGGCGTGCGCCTGCTGCAGGATGGGCCCGGCGCGCGCCTCTGCGAGCTCACCCCCGCGCGCGCTGCCCGCGACAATCGATCGCTGGGGGTCGGTCGCGCCGCTAGTCCAGCCGCGCGTGCGCAGGTGCCGCGGGGCGGCGAAGAGTTCCACCTCGAGCACGACCGCGATGGCGGGAAAACCCTGGTCGACGGCCGCGCGCAGCGGGCGCTGTAAGTTGACGCCGTCGTAGAACTTCTCGATCTTCAGAAGCAGCGTCGCGAACGCGATGCCAAACTCTGCGCGAGGCTTGTCGAGTAGTGCTCGCGCCAGCGAGGCGCGAAGAGCGCTGGGGCCCTGGATGGCCGTGTCCAAGAACTCTCCGAGGGCTTCTGACCACTGGTCAGTGATCGGAGCGCGGAGCTTGCTCCGAACCTTGGGGGCTGTCGCCAGCATGCCCGCGGTGCGCTCGCCCCCCCGATGGCTCGGGCAACGTCGCCCCTATCGTGGCGCGGGCCAGTTGCGGCCGCGGCCTCGTTCGCTCGACTTCGTTGAGAAGATCGGCGAACTGCTGGATGCCTTCCCCAAGGAGCCTCTGGACGTCCGCGGGGCCGATGTTGTCGACGCCCTTCGCCTCCTTGGGGTTGGCCACGCCGACCGCCGCTCGAATCTGGTCCGCAATGATTTCGTCGAGTGGCCTGTCCAAGGCCCTCGCGTGGACCTCTGCGAAGGCCCGGTGGAGAGCCTCCTCGTCGCGCGCGGGCGTCTCCCAGATACCGTTCCACACCTCCGCGGACGCCTGCGTGATGCGCGACGGCGCGCCCAGCGTGACAACGCCGTTCATGGCTTCGAGCTGGGGTGGGCTCAGTCGGGCCCTTGACGGCCCCGCGGTGCTTGCCTGGGTTATCCTCCCAGGCCGTCTTGGCCCACCCCAGGGGCCGCGTGCGCGATCGGGCAGGCGCCCGACCCATCGCCCCGTTGGCCCAGAGCTCAGCGGCGGTCGCGATGCAGGCCCGGTCCTCGTCGCAGCAGAAGTCGAGCATCGACGAGTTCATCTTCCACTCCTCGATCTCGGCTGGGTCGGTCTTCGACCCGAAGTGGCTCGCCTGGGGCTCCGAGTTCTCGAGCTGGTCAATCCTGGCTGACAGGGACTTGGCCGCCAGCATGCGCTCCTGGGATCCTTGCCGTTCTTGGCCGGGGCGATGTACCTGGTCAGCAGCGCGGTGGCGGTCTGCCACCATGCGGTCTGGGGGTCGCGTAGGTGAGGCCTGCCAGGCGGCGCCCCCATGGTTTTGGTGACCGCCCCGCGCCCCTCCGCGCGCCCCAAGTGCCTCGGGCGCTACTCGACGGGGGCCTGGTGAGTCTCGAGGATCGCGTGCTCCACCGCGGCGACTCGCTGGGCGTAGGACGCATGGGCAACCAGGGCCTCGTCGCTGCATCGGCGGTGGACGAAGAGACCGCGCCCGCGCCGAGCCCCGACTCGCGCGCCGTCGAACTTGGGGAAGGCCTTCGCAATGATGGAGGCCGCCCCCAGCCCCCTATGGGCGCCGTGAACGGGGCGTCGTTCGCTGCGGGGGCCTCTTTGATCTCCGCGTGGATCGCGTCGAGTTCTCCGTGTAGGTGTTCGGGTAGCCTGGCCCTGCGCTGTTGCAGTGCCATCGCCTTGGCCCTGGACCTTTTGCCGTCGGGGCCCGCTGCCCGATCGGGCCGCGCGCGCGTCGGCAGTGCGCGCGGCGCCTTCAGACACTTGCGCTGCTGGGACTGGTTGGCCCCGAACGTGACCTCAACGCCGCAATGGGTCTTCCAGGGCACCTGGTAGACGGGCCGCAAATTGAGGACCCCCGCGACGCCGCTGCGAGCGATGCCGCAGTCGTGCCATTGTCGCACGAGACGGTGCAGCCCTCGGGTGCAAGGCTGGGCGCGTTCCACCGCCCTAACCGCGGCTTGTCGGCTCTCCGCGGTGGCTCGTACTTCCAGTCCGCCAGAACCAGCCAAGGGTTCTGCGCCATGCCCAGGAACGCCGTGGTGAGGCTCACGTGGATGACGCGGTTGGCCCCCTGATTGCGGAGCCCTGGCCTTTGGTGGGCCGCGATGGCGACCGGGTTGCCGTTCTCGGTGTGCAGCGCGCACGGCGAGAAGCCGACGAAGGGCTGCTCCCTGTGCTGGCCGACATAGTAGATGCGGTGCGCCGCGGTGGACGCGGCTGCGATATCCTGTCTGGCCAGGGCCCGCTCACCTCCATGAGTGAGTGCCTTGCTGAGACTTGTGAGTGGCGATCACGCGCGTCGCTGCGACCTTCCACCCATCTGCTGCCGGCGGGCCCTTCATCGCATCGAGGTTGCTCGCCGACGCGTGCGTCTCCGCCAGCGCAATCGCGCAGTGGCGCTTGCCCTCGCCCCTCGCGAAGGCTGCGGCTTTGGGCCCCTGCTCGGTAACGTAGCCGAAGAAGATGGTGGGCTCCGCCTCCTCCTTGGCGCGGGGCTTGCTGAAACCGCCCTGGACGAGGCCCAGCAGCGCTGGCGCGGGGGGCCTTCGCGCAGCTGCCGCCACCATCCTGAGCGGCTGTGCGTGCCTGCTGGAGCGCCTCGGCGGCCACGCGGGCGAGCTCGGCGGCGGTCTGCTTGTCCGCTCCAGAAGGCTCGTCGGTCGCCACGGGCGCGGGGCCGCTGCCGCTTGCGGCACCACCCGTGGACACGGGGGTGGCGGGGGCGGCAGGTGGAGTAGGTGGGGCAGCTCCATCATCGTTGGCAGCGGCCGTGTCTTGTCCGCCGTCAGACCCAGCCGCTGCTTCGCCGCCTCCGCCGCCTGGACCCATCCTGCGCTTTTGGCCCCCGTCTCCTACGCCTGGCGCAGGATGTCTCGAACCCGCTCCTGCCCTTCGTTGGGCGCCTTGGCACGGTAGTCGAGGTCTGCCTTCCATTCCTCCATCTGCTTGCGGGTATCCTCGTCGTAGACCGAGAGATCGGCCCACAGGGAGTCGTCGGTGGTGAAGGCCTCGTGCGCCTGCGGGGTCCTTCGGGAGATGCAGAGCTTGACCTCGACCGCCTCCTGCGCCTTGGCGCAGTCAACCTACTCCTTGACCAGGTCGAGCGTCGCCTGCTGCTGCTGCTGCTCCTCGAGTGCAGCGAGCTACTCTTGGCGTCCGCGACGTCTTCCACGAGCTTGTCGAGGCGAGCCTTGTGGTTGCTGGGGACTGCCAGCGCGGACTGCAGCGCCTGCTCTGGCGGCTGGAGGAGCGGGCTTGAGCGCTGCCTGCAGAGGAGTGAACAGCTGCTCCTTGGTGCCGTCATCACCGACGAGGTTGGCCAGCGCGTCGAGGACTTCGTCCGCCGTGAGGGGCTTCTGCTGCTGCTGCTGCCGCCATGGGGGTGGCATGCCTACCCAAGCACCAGCAAGCAGCCGATACCCCCCTAGCGTCGGAGCAAATGGCTTGCCACAGTGGAAGCAATCCGGCTTCCCATTCCACGTCCAGCGGTAGCGACACTGCATGCAGACCGTGTACCATTTCGCCAAGTCGAACCTGGGACTGTGGCCGCGCCCTTTGTCGCCGCCCTCGTCCTCCTTGCCAGCTGCCGCCGCCGAGCGTCGAGCGCTCTTACCGCCGTTGGCGCCGTCCGCAATGGTACTAACTTCCTCGCCGCAAGCGAGGATATGGAAACGGGCGGTAACTCGCCCCTGAGGTTGCTGCAAGAGCACGGAAACACTGGATGGACGCCTACCCCGCTGAGGCAATGATGGATGCGCCATGTGGCCTTGAGCCAAACTTGCTACGGAGGAGGAAGAGGAGGAGAGGAGGAGGAGGAGGAGGAGGAGGAGGAGGAGGAGGAGGAGGAGGAGGAGGGGGAGGAGGAGGAGAGGAGGAGGAGGAGGAGGAGGAGGAGGAGGAGGTAGGAGTAGGAGGAGGAGGAGGAGGAGGAGGAGGAGGAGGAGGAGGAAGAGAAGGCGGAGGACCGCGAGCTTCTGCACCGCCCTCCCCCTCGCCTTTCGCGTTAGCATGCTTGGGCAGCTGCTGCCCACGGGCCGCCGATTGCCGGCTTCGATGGGGAAGGCCTGTGCTCCATGGCATCGGCTCTGCCCTCCTCCTCCTCCTCCTCCTCCTCATCCTCCTCCTCCCTCCTCCTTCTCTCTCTCCTTCCACCTCCTCCTGCAGCGTGATCCTCCTCCTCCTCCTCCTCGGGCTTCTCCTCCTCCTCCTCCTCCTCCTCCTCCTCCTCCTCCTCCTCCTCCGCTTCCTCCTCCCTCCTCTTCCTCCTCGGCGCGAAGCGGCGGGGATTAGCATCAGGAAGCGCAGGAGGCAGAGGAAGCGCATGGCGACGGCGGCCTGGATGAGGCGAAGAAGGCGGAGAAAACATAAGCATGGGAGGACGAGAGACACAAGGATGACGACAAAGAGAACTGGAGAGGAGGATAAGGGCTAGGTCCTAACCATTATCCGCCTCTCTCGTCCTCTTCGTCGTCGTCCTTCTGCTGATGCCGCTGCTGCTGCTCCCGAGCAGCAGCAGCAGCAGCAGCAGCAGCAGCAGCAGCAGCAGCAGCAGCAGCAGCAGCAGCAGCAGCAGCGGAATCAGCGCCGGATCCGAAGGAGCAGGAGAAGGACCAGGAGCCGTCCTCTGGTCGCATCGCTCAGCTGCCACCGCCGAAACGCTTCATGGCCGCCTGCGCCTGCAGCTCCCGGCGGTGCGCGCTGACGCACTCCGCCGAGCAATAAAGATAGTCTAGGCGAGCGAACGGCTTACTGACAATGGGCTTCGCGCAGCTCTCGCACTTTGCCTGCGCGGCTGCCAGCGCCCGCGCCTCCTCCTCCTCTCGCCTCGCTCGTTCCTCGTCTTCCTCGCGTGCCTTGGCCTTCGCGAGCTTCTGCTTCTCCTTCAGCTTCTTTTTCTTCTCCTTGTCCTTGTCTTTCTTCCTCTGCTCGACCTCGTCCGTGAGGGCCTCTGGCACCTGTGCCGCGCTCCAGTCCCACTCGTCCTCGTTCTCGCCCCGCCAGCGGCGGAAGGCGTCGCGGGCCTTCTGGGTGGGGCACAGGAAATACGGCACGCGACCTCGGCCCGGCGGCGCGCACGGAGAGGGCCGCGCGAGGAGGGCCGCCTTCTGAGCCAGGGGGGGGGGGGGCTTCTCGGAAATGTCAGGGGGAGCCTCTTCGGCGGGGCCTGGAGGCTCTCGAGAGAGGCCTCTCAGGAGCCATAGGGGGGCTTCCAAGAAGGCCCCATGCCTTCTGACTGCCGTCTCCTCGCGCCGCCCCTCCCGCAGGGGCGCCGACGGTGGCGCGCGCCCCCAGGCGGCTGGGGAGCTTCTGCCCCCCCCCCCCCCCCCTCTCCCCATGCTGCGACATCCGACTGCGCGAATAGAGGGGAGATCCACGCCATGGTGCGGGATGGGAGGGAGGGGTAGGACGTCAGATAGACGCTTGCGCACCCAGCTTGTGCCCCCCCCCCCCTCCCCCTCCTCTCCCCTCTCCCCTCTCCTCCTCCTCCTCCTCCTCCTCCTCCTCCTCCTCCTCCTCCTCCTCCTCCTCCTCTCCTCCTCTCCCCTCCCCCGTTCCCCCTCCTCCTCCTCTCCCTCTCGCATCTCCCCTCCCTCGGCGCCGACGGTGGCGCCCGTCCCCAGGCCGTGCCAAGGGGGGGGGCCCACCCCCAAGCAGGGGGCCGCCACCTCTTCGAGGGCCGTCTCAGGACCCCCCCCAAAAAAACCGCCCGCCCGCCCAAAACTCCCGAGATCGCCCCCAACTCTCCTTGACCCTCTCGGGGTAGCGCACATCCATGGATTTGGCGCGCGGTCGCCAAATCCATGGACTGGGGGAAGCGCCCTCCCCAAAATGCGGCCGGTGCCGCCTCGTTCGGCGGCGGAAATGCGCGATTTCCCAAGGAAACGGGACCCGTCGCTAATCCACGCCCCCTTGATCCACGTTTGCGACCGCCTGATCCTCAGCCCTCGAACCTGGAGAGACCTCCGAGAGCGCTCCGAAGAGACCCCAAACAGAATCCCTGAGGACTCTGACCCACGTCA